CAAGCCGCACCTCCATCTCCTACCGACCAACCTCATCCCGCCCCCTTGACCTGTCCGTCCTCCCTGGACTGACCTATCCCCTTCCTAACTCCCTACCTACACTCACCTTTCCTGGCCCCATCCCCGCCTCTTCGACCTGTTTGTTTCCTCTCCACCTATCCTCTCCTCTATCCCTCTTCTATCCGCCTCCCACTCTCTCCCTATTTATTTCAAAACCCCCTTCCCCTCCCCCTTTTCTGATGAAGGGTCTAGGCCCGAAACGTCAGCCTCTCTGCTCCTATGATGCTGCTTGGCCTGCTGTGTTCATCCAGCCCTGCACCTTGTTGTCATGGAGAAGTCTTCTGGTCACTTTCCCAAAGGACAATCAGTTTCACACTGGATGCACTATGGGGGTGATCCAGGAACAGGAGAGGTGGACTGGGTGGCCTATTCTTCAGCAGGTCTTCCCCCGACTGAAAACCAAAACCTTCAACTGCCTGCAAACACTATTCAAATAGAACAGCCATATCACAGAATGACAGAAGTCTTGTGCCAATCTGCCCATCCTATCTGCACTGGCTCTCCAAATAAGCATCATGCTTTAAAGCCATTCTGTTACCTTTTCCCTGGAGCCCTGAACATTGTTTCCACTTAAATAACGTTTAATGCCCTCTTGAATGCTTTGATTGAGCCTGCCTGTGCCACATTTCCAGGCAGTGCATTCCATAAAACCTAATCAGACAATTTCTCCTCCCCGAGAGGATGGTGGGGGTCTGGAATGCGCTGTGTGGGAGGGGAGTTGAGGTGGGAATTCTCAGAACCTTTTAAAAAGTACTTGGATGAGCACTTGAAATGTCATAACGTTCAAAGGTTATGGACCTAGTGCTGAAAGGTGGATCTACTGGAGCTTTGCCAGTACAGACTTGATGGGCCAAAGAGCCTCTTCTGTACTGAATGATTCTGTGAGCATGCAGCAAACAAGTCCAGAAATCTGCTGAATTTCCAGTGTGTATCAATAAACCTTGACTGGTCATTATAAGTAGCTTGTTAAAGTAATTATTAGCACTTTCTCCGATCACAGAAGCACACCTGACTGTAGACCTGTTAGAACTGCCTGGACAGGTCAAGTTGGCTTTTAGCATTGTCATCCCAGACAGTCTCATCTTTTAAATTGGTCACTCCAAATTTTGTGTACCTGTGGTGCTGTCAGTTAAAGCTGTGTTTATGTGGAATTGTAGTGTTCTCAAGGGATTCATTATCTCTCTCTCTCTCCTCTCTCTCTGTCTTTCTCTAATTTGAATGCACTAGAGTCATAGAGTCATACAGCTAAGACAATCAATATATTAAGGAAAGGTGTAATAGGGCAAGTACAATGTAGACAAACGTGTGAAACTTTGCTGCAAAATCACAGTCACAGATCCTGAAGTGTTTCACGAGTTAATGAAACATTTACGAACATGTTTTCTAGCCCAGTAAAACGCTTCCTAAATCCTGTGTGTGGTTTGGTTTCACATTACGATTCCCGGTGAGACCAATAACTTTTGAAAAACAGATTTGAGTTGCCAGTGATTTACTCAAAGGATCTCACGCTGAGATTTTGCCTGGTAAGAATTTTACTGTGTTATGCCTAAGTGGGATAGCATGCTGGAAATCGAGCCCCACTATTCCCAGGGCCATTGCCGAAGTTAAAGAGTTTTGAAAAATGCACAGAATTTCCCAGTTTACATGCCTTTTAGACCCAACTTGACAAGAATCAGTTTTCTGAACAAGAATTATGATTTATTACAAGTCATAGGCTCGAGCTGCAGTAGATAATTATGAACTGTCAGTGTATAACTCTACTTGTTAAAGCTCTAATCCCCCTATAAAAAAAGGTAAAGTCACCATAGCCCCTCATTAGGGAGAGGGTCAGTTGGTGCTAGTTTAATCTGTGGGTCACCACCAGTAATCCCTGTGGTTTAGGCCTTCAGATGAGGGGTGAAATGGAGAAGGAGAGTCCTTCATGGTAACCTCAGCCAGTGCGAGAATTAAGCCCACACTGTTAGTATCACATTGCCCAACTGAGCTAACTGACCCCCGAATACACCCCCATAAACTCCCCCTTTCTCTCGCACACACAGAAAGGGAATAACCTTTACAGATGGAGGCAAAGCCTGGGCAAGCAGTTCGGTGGTGTCTGTTTGCAAGACCATCTTACGTTGATCAGAACGCTGCTTCTCAATCTTTCTTCTCTGGATGTTTTCACTTGTTTGCAAGAGGCTCAGGGTGGCCGGATCACACTTATCAAAGGTCTCTGACTTATTTATCAAAAGTCACAGCTCACAGCAACTGCTGAAGGGAAAAAGAACTGGTTTTCTTCCAGTTTAAAGGTCCCTTTACTGCAGAAAGCAGAGCTCTGAAGCTGGTTGAGTTCTGAAGGCTTCTCCCTATCTTGTTCACAGTGCCAAACCAGCCAGCTACCTGTGAACCAATCACATCATTGTTGGCAGGCAGGGGGCCTTTGTCATCAGTAACAGGTCACTGTTTCACAGACCAATCAGGTACTTGTTGCTGGCTGAATCTCCATTTGTACACACCTTTCTCCTACTGCAGCTGTGTAAGCAATACCTATAGTGAGTAGCCGCTAACTTGCTTTAAAAAAAATGCAGTAATCCTTGGTTTTAAACGAGTTCTTTTCCCATTTCAAGCCACAATTTAAAAAATAAAGAAAAATGAAATATGAGCTTTATAACCATAATAAATATGCTAAAAACAATGCCGACTAGCCATGACTCGGTAAAGAAAATATACCATCTCCCCATACCCTCTTTATTTCCGCACAGAAGAAAGCCTACATGCTTTGTTTATACATTACACAGCACTCTTGACAAATTATTGTCTTTACAGGAGCCAGGTAGGAAGACTGCTACCTGCTAACAGGCACACTCCTTTACATTTTGCTGCATTGTACCATCATCCATTGCTTTATGAATGTCATTTCCCTGTCTTCTGAGTGTGTCCAAACTACCTTTCCACGGGGGACTGACCTTATTCTGGGCGACACCCAAGCTGAATGTTCCAGTTTCCTTCAGGTTCCACTGGTCGCACCTCTTACACCAGAGACTGTGCTCCCAATCCAATTCTGTTTGGTCGCAAACAGAGAACAGTCTCTTCTGCTGCTGTTTATAGAATCATAGAATGTTACAGTCCAGAAGGAGGCCATTCGACCCATCATGTCTGTTCCAGACCCCAAAAGAGCTATGCAGCCAGTCCCACTCTCCATCCCTATTTCTGTCATTTCTTTCTGCTCCGTGTAAGAGCCGGTTCTTGGATTTCAATTGAATTTAAGTTGGACCCCTTTCCCCACCTCAGTCTCTTGGCAACCAGGTAACATCAGTGAATCGCTGGGCAGATCTAATAGGACGTTACATGATCCATTTTATTTTGAATTGAAAGAGACGGTTTAGAACATAACCGTCTTTCTAAAACCTCACCCCCAAAAGCAGACTTTTCCTGAGAAAGCCAGGAGGCAGGTGAGGGACGTGTTGGAAGTAACATTTAGGAAACTCTCAGTGTTAGCTTTTGATAATCTGAGGAGAATGGGAAGAAAGGACTTTCAGAATCTGGAGGGAAGGCTAAACTGACAAAATTCTATCTCCAGTCCAACGGGGTAGACGTAGATAGAGGAGACACCTGTTTGGTCACTGCAGAACCAGGGGATATTTACCCACTTACCCCCTGTCTTCAGCATATATACCACCTTTTCCTAGCTACCAATCAGTTCCCAAGGATTGAAACACTAACTCTGCTTTCTCACCATGGATAATGCCAGCCCTGCTGAGTTTCTCCAGCATTTTCTATTTTTGTGACATAAATGAAATCCCTGATCCTAAGATTAAGACTGAGATGAGTGAAAATGTCTTCATTGACAGGATGGGGAGTCTGTGGAATTTTCTGCCCAGAGGATGGTGGAAGCTCAGCATTGTGTGTGTTCAAGATAAAAATCGATAGGCTTCTGGAGACTAAAGGGATATGGAGGTTATGTGGGAAAATTTCAGTTGGCACGGTGAATTAACCATAGTCCAGAATGGTGAGGTAGGTTGATGGGATGAATGGCCTACTCCTGTTCTCTGTCAGAGTGGAAGATGGTGCAAGACATCCTTACTAGTACTTTGTGTGAGTGAGTATGTGTCTGTGTGTGTGTTTGTGTCTGTGTGTGTATATCGGTGTGTGTCTGTGGGTGGGTGTGTTGGGCGGAGTAAGGACGGTGTGCAGAATGGGGTCAGTGAAAGGGAGCACATGAGACCAGGTATCTATTTTCCCTGCATGAACAGAACCAAAGTCTTTGCCAAAAATAAACCTTTCTAATACAGGCCCTTCCTTTTGATAAATCATCTGTTTCTCAGTCTGTGCCTGTTTGTCACCACTGAATTTAATATTTGCCCTCCCACAGATAACGCAAGCCGACAAAGCTTTAAACAGAGTGTCAAGCAAGGATGGGCATATATTGGTCGGAAAATGGTAAGTCAATGATAGTATGAAAGGAATTTGTTTACACCAGCTCGCTGGATGATCCCAGAGAGTTGTGTTGATGGGGTCACCTCGAGGGATGGGACTGAAATTGGTAAAAGGGTGATTGGCCATGGGCTGGAGAGAGGGTCTTAAAGGAAGACAGACAGAGAAAGTGGTAGATGGCCAAAGAAACTTGTTTGGCCCGGGGTTGGAAGTTGCATTGTAGAGGAAGTTCCAAAGCTCAGGACCTGGCATAACCATCAACAGACAAATGATTGAAATTGAGAGTAGTGGTAAATTAGAGAGAGTGTGGAAGCCTCTGAAGGCTTTGGAGCTGGTGAAGACTGGAGATGAGAGTGTGAGGCTGTGGAGAAATCAGAGCAGAGGAGAGACCAACAAGAGAAATTAGTTTGAAAAATAAAAATCTGGGTGTGACAAATATTTGTCAGGGACATGTGGTGCAGTGGTAGTGTCTCTGTGCCTGGTGGATCTGATTCATTACCTATCCCAACAACTTAGTTTCCTTTAGGAAAATGAGCCAATCCTATGCCATTGCTGTCAACTTCTCAGAAGTAGCTGCTTTTATTCTCATTTGCATTTGATAGAAATATACTCTCAGATGTCACCAGTCTGTGTTAAATATTTACACCTGGCTCCTAATAACATGCTGGAAGCAAAGTAAAAGTCATCAAGTGTTGTTTTTGGAATAAGATATTTGACTGTGGCCCAAAATGTGACAGTGAAGGAACGGTGATATTTTTCCAAGGTGGGATGATGAGTGGCTTGGAGAGGAACTTGCACGGGGTGGTGACCTTATCCTTCTAGATGGAAATAGTTGTGGGTTTGGAAGGTGCTGTCGGAGGTACCTTGGTGAGTTGCTGCGGTGCATTTTGTAGACGGCACACAATGCTACAGTGATGCTTAAAAGGTAGGAGGGGTGAGGGATGAGGTGGTGTTTGGAGTGTTTTCTGGATTGTTGTTTGCTCTGTGCTGATCCAAGTGAAAACAGAAACAGAACTAGACCATTCTGCCCCTCGAGCCTGCTACATTATTCAGTATGATCATGGCTTTTCAGGTTGTGACTATAACTCTTAACAACCTAACATTGAATGTATTGCCCGAAACGTCAGCCTTCCTGCTCCTATGATGCTGCTTGGCCTGCTGTGTTCATCCAGCTCAACACCTTGTTATCTCAGCTTCCACTGCTCACTGGTTTCCAAAGACTAGTAACCCTCTGAGAGAAGAAATTCCTCCTCATCTCCATCTTAAGTGGGAGATCCCTCCTTTTAACTGTCTCCACAAGTTGCAGATTCCCCCCACAAGGGGAAATCGTCCTCTCTGCACCTACACTGTCAAAGCCCCTCAGAAAGGTGTCTGTCTCAGTAAGTTCACTTGTCATTCTTATAAACTCCAGTGGGTATAGGCCAGACTTGGTTCTGTCTTCCAGGCCATTGGTGAGATCACCTCTCGAATACTGTGTGCAGTTTTGGTCTCCTTTTTCAAGGAAGGTGCAAATTAGTCGGGTGACAGTTCCGAGGAGGTTCCCTGGATTAAAACCTGGAATGAGGGAGTTGTTTTATGAAGACAGGCTGGACTTTTTTCACTAGAGTTCCGCAGAGCAGGGTGTGATTTGATTGAGGTTAACAAGATCTGGATTAAGGTACTGTTTTAAAATTAGATCTTCTAGGACAGAGGTGAGGAGAAATTTTCTCTCAGAGGCTTGTACAAGTATAAAATTCTCTTCCTCAAACAGCCAGTGCTGGAGGGTTTGAGCTGTAGGAAGAGGCTGAATAGACTGGATCTATTTTCTTTGGAGTGTTGGAGGCTGAAGGGTGACATTATAGAGGTTTATAAAATCATGAGGGACATGGATAGGGTGAATAACCAAGGTCTTTTCCCCCAGGGTGGTGGAGTCCGAAACTAGAGGGCATGGGTTTAAGGTGAGAGAGGAAAGATATAAAAGAAACCTGAGGGGAAACATTTTCACGCAGAGGGTATTGTGTGTATGGAATGAGCTGTCAGAGGAAGTAGTGGAGGCTGGTACAATTACATTTTTTAAAATTCATTCACAGTATGAGGGTGTATCTGGCTAGGCCAGCATTTATTGCCCATCCCTAAATGGCCCAGAGGGCAGTTAAAAGTCATTAGGGAAGGAAACTGCCATCTTTACCTGATCTGGCCTACATGTGACTCCAGGCCCACAGCAATGTGGTTGACTCTGAACTGCCCCTTGGGCATCTAGGGATGGACAATAAATGCTGCCTGGCCAGTGATGCCCTCATCCTGTGAATGAATTAAAAAAAAATATTGCTGTGCTTCTGGAGTCACATGTAGGCCAGACCAGGTAAAGATGAAAGTTTCCTTCCCTAAAGGACATTAGTGAACTAGATGGGTTTTTCCTGACAATCTGGATATTTATTGAATTCAAATTCCACCACCTGTCGTGGCAGGATTCGAACCTGGGTCCTCGGAACATTTCCTTAACAGTCCAATGATAATACCCCGAGGCCATTGACTTTAAAAGGCATCTGAATGGGTACATCAAAAGTCAGGGTTTAGAGCGATTTGGAAAATGGGACTAGATTAATTTAGGAAAATAGTTGGCGTGAATGAGTTGGACCAAGGGGTCTGTTTCTGTGCTGTACAACTCTGTGACTCTATGACAGTGGGGACACGTCGCTGAATATTTTTAAGGTGGAGGTAGAGTCTTGTTCAGCAACAGAATCATAGTTTGAGGCTAAAAGGGAATGTGGTATCTGGAAGACAAAGAGATTCGCCATGATTGAATGTTAGAGCAGGCTTGAGGGGCTGAATGGCCTACATATGTTTGATGTGGTTTCCTGAGACTTGCTCAGCCATTGGAAAAGATTGGGCAGACTAAAACAAAACCAACATGTGCTATAGGGACAGTGGGAACCTGCTGTGAGGTGCAGGCTAATCCCAGAGTTAAACTAAAACAAACAAAACCTTGCTCGCTTTTAATGCCTTCGGACCATTTATATCCTGTCAGCCCTCAGGCGGGGTGGAGGGGAGAGGGTGTTCTGATGAAGCTCATGATAAGCTCATCAGCTCTGATGAAGAGTCATCTGGATTCAAGACATTACCTTGCTCTCTCTCTCTCTCTCCATGGATGCTGTCTGACCCACTGTGGTTTCCAGCATTTTTTGTTTTTAGTTCAGATTCAAGCATCTACAGTAATTTGCTTCCACAAAGTTATGCTGAACTTTTATTTGTCTTATTTAAGGCACCAACGGGGTTATTTTGTAGGTTCTGATCAGCTCACTTTATATAATATCTTTGAGAAGACACAGAGAGAGATTTACCACAATGGTTCCAGGGCTGACCATATTTTGGAACAAGGCTAGGCTGATGAAAATGAGGTGGATCTCCTTGGAGTTAAGAATCCTAGAATCCCTACAGTGTGGAAACACGCCATTCGGCCCCAACAAGTCCACACCGCCCCTCTGAAGAGCATCCCACCCAGCTCCATTCCCCTACCCCTGCATTCCCCATGTCTAACCCACCTACCCTAAACATCCCTGGACGCTATGGGCAATTTAGCCTGGTCAATCCACCTACCCTGCACATCTTTGGACTGTGGGAGGAAACCAGAGGAAACCCACACAGATACGGGGGGGGAATGTGCAAACTCCACACAGACTGTCGCCCGAGAATGGGATTGAACCCGAGTCCCTGGCGCTGTGAGGCAGCAGTGCCAACCACTGTGCCACCCAAAAGGAGGTCAAGGGGAGATTGGATAAGAGTCATACAAGATTATAACCACTTTTATTCAGAGAGAGGTGATGACCTGCAACTGTCTGCCCACTGTGGAGGGTGATCGGCTAGGCAACTGAATAATAAACCTGTAGGACAACAGGGACTGGGGCACTCACGTCACGTGATGAAATGACTGAGGGGTTAAGGTGATGGACTGCGATGCAAACGTGGCTTTGAATCCCACTCTTGCCGTCCTTTCCATAAATGCTGACTGTTCTGTCATCCTTTGCGCTTGTGGCACAATAGTAATGTCCCCACCTCTGAGCCAGGAGGCCCGGGTTCAAGCCCTGCCTGCTCCTGCTCCTGCTCCAGAGGTGTGTAAAAACATCGCTGAGCAGGTTGACCTGGATTACTGAGTGTCTGTATTCAGATATTCTCATTTCTCCTGTGTTACTTAGTACTCCATAAAGAGACTGTGCATCAATTAGGGGTAACAGTAAATGGGGGAGGTAGGGGGGAATCCTTGGGGAGGGATGGTGTTGGTATGTTAATTGTGTTCAATTGCATGCAGGTGAAAATGAAGAGAGGTATGGAATAAATACTAGAATAGACCTAATAAAAACCGAAAGAACTGCAGATGCTATAAATCAGGAACAAAAACAAAGTTGCTGGAAAAGCTCAGCAGGTCTGGCAGCATCTGTGAAGGAGAAAACAGAGTTAATGTTTCGGGTCCGGTGACCCTTCCTCAGGAAGTATAGATCTGTTGGGCTGAATGGCCTCTTTCTGTATTGTGCGGTCCACATTACCGAGCCTTGTATCCTTCTGTCTCTGAGCCGAGAGGACTGTCCCTGAGCCATGGACAGGGTCTTGAAGAGCCAGGCCAGTATGAGTTCCCTGTGTTTTGTTTTGCAGGACGTTGCTGACTTTGAGTGGGTTATGTGGTTCACCAAGTTTCGAAACTACATTCTTTTCGCCTTATCTGGCCATGTTCTGTTTGGTAAAGCTATTTCCATGACGGTTCCTCAGGTGGGTGCCACTTCCATTCTGCCTCTTAACGTTGTTTTATCTTCCTTGGAATATGCAGAAGACCGAAGGGACGGTATTTATTGAGACGTTCTAGAACTAACTCAGATGGTGTGGGATCAAGCTGGCTGTGGGATTTTGTAACTGGGCAACATGATTAGAATGTGATTGCAAAGTGAAATCTTCAGGAGATGATGGTTGGAAGCGGTGTCCAGCACAGCGGCTGTAACAGAGGGTGCAACGTTATGTGGCTGCAGGCGGTTGCATTGTGATTCTTCATCCCCCTCTCCCCAGAGCCTAGGCGTTGGGATAATCCATGGTCATGACCATCATACAAACAGGGAGCAGGAGTAGGCCACTCGTCCTTCCAAGCCTGCCCCATGTTAATCTTCCACACGCTTTGCAATCGAGAGTCTCTCCACAATGAAGCGTCTGAGTGATCAGTAGGAGCTCGGTGAAGGCAGGAAGAGATGATGCAGGCAGCAGTGTGAGGGTGAGGTGGAGAATCAGGCGTGGATCCTGAATGACAGCGAGCGCTGCCAGTTTAAGCAGGGGCCCTGGATGAACATTGGCAGCCTGGGAGGTGGGCAGAGCCATATGAAGACACCCCCACCCAGTTACTAGATCTTTTCCAGCTCTGCCACATCCAGATTCCAGGAATTTTTTTTTATTCATTCACGGGATGAGGGCATCTCTGGCTAGGCCAGCATTTCATAGAATCATAGAATCCCTACAGTGTGGAAACAGGCCCTTCGGCCCAACAACTCCACACCGAACATCACATCATCCCACCCAGACCCATCCCCCTATAACCCACCTAATCTACACCGCCCTGAACACTACAGGCAATTTAGCATGGCCAATCCACCTAACCTGCACATCTTTGGACAGTGGGAGGAAACTGGAGCACCCAGAGGAAACCCACGCAGACACAGGGAGAATGTGCAAACTCCACACAGACAGTCGCCCAAGGGTGGAATTAAACCCGGGTCCCTGGTGCTGTGAGGCAGCAGTGCTAACCACTGAGCCACCGTGCTGCCCTATTTATTGCCCATCCCTAGTTGCCCAGAGGGCAGTTAAGAGTTGACCACATTGCTGTTGGTCTGGAGTCACACATAGGCCCAGACCATGGTAAGGATGGCAACTTATTTCCCTGAAGTGAACCAGATGGTTTTACAACAGTCGACAACAGATTCACGGTCATCATTAGACTCTTAATTCCAGATTTGTTAATGAATTCAAGTTCCACCATCTGCTGTGGCAGGATTCAAACCCGAGTCCCCAGAACATTTGCTGAGTTTCTGGATTAATAGTCTGATGGTCATACCACACAGCCATTGCCGCCTCATTTGACCCTTCTGAGGGCGGAGGGTGGTCCCTGAGGAGTCTCATGCCCCCACACTCCCAGGATGATGCCACCTGTCCTTCTGCCCAGCTGCCCACCCACCAGCCTGCAAATCTCTGTGCACCAAGATGTTGTTTCCAGGAGTTTCCACTGTGGCCAATTCCTGGTTCCATCTTCCCTCCAAGAGGCAGCCTGCTTGTGCATGTGTGCTTTTGCTATGGATTAGCTCAGCTGGCTGGATGACTGGTTTACAAAGTAGAGTGATGCCAACAGCATGGGTTCAATTCCTGCATTGGCTGAGGTTACCTTGAAGGGCTTTCTATCTCAACCTCTCAACTTATTTGAGGCTCATTGCCCCTCAGGTCAAACCAGCACCAGTCATATCTCTCTCTAGTGAGAAGGTGGTCCTCTGGGACTATAGTGACTTTACCTTCACTTTTACTCTACCTTGGGAATGGGGACCAGTGTTGCTGCTGCCACCTGCTGTGTTCAGACCAGGCTGACAGGTTTTGCGAAATGGAGACCAGTGCTGGAGACACAGAGTCTTACTCTGAAATCGTGCCAGTGATGTTACAGGACAGCTGTTGCTTATTGCCCACCTCGGTCTGAGGTGACGCTAATCCCCCAGATTTGGGGGTGGGGTGGGGGTGGGCAGCTGCGTCCCAAGCCCTGCTTGTGTCTGCTTTTTCCAAAAGCATGGTTTTACAAAAGGGATGGAGATTTAATAACATCTACCAGCTGTGTATTCTCACGGGTTTGGCCCGGTCACAGGGTTATTGATACGCGAAATGTAGGTTGTTTCTGCCCAGTTCCCAAGGTATTCCTCAGATTATCAAAAATATTCTATGCTAAAACAGTTCGTGCCCCTTGAAAAGTAGCTTATAGGCCACATCTGTCCGATGATGGCTCGCTTGCAATTGCCAGAATTTGCAGTCAGTGGGACAATTGGCATTGAAATGTAAATTATAAACTGGAAAGCTTCAATAGAAACTGAGGCACTTCACTGAATGATACAGTACAGAAGAAGGCCATTTGGCCCATAACAGCTGTGCTGACACAGAAGAATTCGTACACCACACAGCAATGCAACCTATTGGCAGAGGCTGGATTTTGGCAGACAGTATTGAATTGAGGTAAAAGCCTTTGGACTGTGATCCTGACCCATGTCTGTTTGCTCATCTTTTCAGTTTGGTTTTTAGTTTATTCTTTCATGCCGACAAGGCAGCATTTACAGTCATAGTGTAACACAGCATGGAAACAGGCCCTTCGGCCCAAACTGGTCCATGCTGATCATGGTGCCCATTCAGCTAGTTCTAATTGCCTGCATTTGGTCCATACCCTTCCCATCCATGTACCTGTCCACATGTTTTTCAATGTTCCTATTGTACCTGCCTCAACCACTTTCTCTGGCAGCCCATTGCAAATATGCACCACCTTCTGCATGAAGAAGTTGCCCCTCAGGTCCTTCTTACATCTTCCCCCTCTCACCTTAAACCTATGCCCTCTAGTTTTCAATTCCCCATCCCTTGGAAAAAGACTATATGCATTCATCCTATCTATGTCCCACATGATTTAATACACCTCAGTAATGTCACCCCTCATTCTCCTACATTCCATGGAATAAAGTCCTACCTTGGCCAACCTCTCCCTATAACTCTAGTCTAGCCTACCAGTCCTGGCAACATCTTCATAAATCTTCTTTGCACATTTCCCAGTTTAACTATGTCTTTCCTATAACAGGGTGACCAAAACTATACGCAGTACTCCAAGTGTGACCTCACCAATGACTTATACAACTGTAACGTAACATCCCAACTCCCATAGTTAGTGCCTCGACCGATAAAGGCCAACCTGCTAAATGCCTCTTCACCACCCCGTTCCACCTGTAATGCCGCTTTCAATGAACTATGTACTTGCACTCCAACGTCCCTCTGTTCCACAACATTCCTCACGATCTTACCATTTACTGTATAAATCCTGTCTTGGTATGACTTTCCAAAGTGCAAACCCTCACACTTATCTGTATTGAATTGAATTTGCCAATCCCAATGTATGCCTTCTTCTTTTTCCTGACCAGAGCCTCAATATCCCTCGTCAGCCAGGGATCCCTAAACCTACCAGCTTTTCCCTTCACTGTAACAGAGTCATACAGTCCCTGGATTCTTGATATCACACTTTTAAAAGCCTCCCATTTGCCAGTCATTCCTTCTCCTTCAAACAGACTCACCCTATCAACTGCTGCTGGTTCCTGCCTGATGGCCCCAAAATTGGCCCTGCTCCAGTTTAGCACCTTAACCTGTGGACCTGTCCTATCTTTTTCCGTAACTATGTTAAAACTAAGAGAGTTGTGGTCACTGGACCCAAAGTGCTCTCAGACTGACACTTCAGTCACTTGCCCGACCTCGTTTCCTAAGAGGAGGTCCAGTGTTGCACCCTCCCAAGTAGGGCCCTCCACATATTGATTTCGGAAACTTTCTTGGACACAATTGTTTGTTGCCCGTACCTAATTCCCCTTTGAACTGAGTGGCTTCTTTGTCCATTTCAGAGGGCATTAAGAGTCAACCACATTGCTGTGGGTCTGGAGTCACATGGAGGCCAGACTGGGTAAGGATGCCATATTTCCATTGCGTGAGGGAAGCAGATAGGTTTTAACAACAACTGGTGATTGTTTTCATGGTCGCTATCACTGAGATTAACTTTAAATTCCAGACTTTATTAATTGAATTTAAATTCCACAAGATGCATTGGTGAGATTTGAACCCACAGCATCTGCATTGCTAGTACGGTGACATGACAAATATGCCATCATCCCCCATTGGACGATCTATACCTTTTAACATTGCGAACAGTTATTATATGACCAATGTTCTGTCTTTACACAGCACAGATCCATGTATTTTATGACTTACGGGATACTGGCAGTTCTGGCTACAATGGGTCTCTCATACCTGATGCTGATCCTGGTCCACTGCGTTGTGCTGTACAGCGTCGGTTTAGCTAAACAGAAGTGGCTGTGTTTCGCTGCTGGCCTCTGCAGCCTAGCAACATTCAAATTCGAACCCGTGAGCTCTTGGCAGGTAAAAATGTCTCGAATAGGAGCAGGCCCTTGAGCCTGTTCCATTCAATAATGATTTCCCTCTTCCACTTTTCCTTCTGTCCCCTCATCCCTTCATTCACCACGTGATGTTGCAAATAGTTGGTTGAGAGATGGACAGGACTGGCAGCTTAATGTTCCAGAGAGGCATGATAGAGAGGGGTAGGAAAGAGTTGGGGGAGTTGTGTTACTGATTAAGGAGAATATCACAGCTGTACTGAGGGAAGACACCTTGGAGGGTTCATCCAGCAAGACTACATGAGTAGAGTTTAGGATTAGGAAGGATTCAGTCACCTTGATGGGATTGTACTACAGGCTTCCCAACAGCCAGTGTGTGATAGAGGGAGAGATATGTGAACAGATTATGGAAAAATGTAAATGTTGTAGTGAGTGATTTTAACTTCCCCTATACTGATGGGGATGTCTTAGTGCTAGGGCTTGGATGAATTTGGAGGAGAACAGATTTGTTAGGTGTGTCTGGGACGGTTTTCAGAAACTATGTGTAAATAGCCCAACTAGAGAAGGGGCCATCCTAGGCCTGGTTATTGGTGAATGAGCCCAGCCAGATGATTGAAGTTTCAGTGCGGGAGAATTTCAGGAACAGTGACCATAATTCTGTAAGTTTTCAGTTATTTACGGATAAAGATAAGAGTAGCCCTTGGGTGAAAGTACAGGCATTTCTGTTATAACGTGTGTTTCATTAACGCAAATTGGCTGTAATGTGATTGATGCATAGTGGACACTGTTTGGATAATGCAAACTTTCTGCTGTACAGGTATAGCAATTTCCCTATAATGTGATTTTCTACGGCAATGTTTTATAGTGCAAGGTCACACAAGAACACAACTATCACATTATAGGAGAAATACCTGTATTAAATTGGAGGGGTAGGCTAACTACCACAATATTAGGCAGGAACTGGAGAACCTAGATTGGGGGTGGCAGTTTAAGGGTAAATCCACATCTTGGATGTGGGAATCTTTTAAATGCCAGTTGATCAGAGTTCAGGACCAGAATGTTTCTGTGAAAATGAAGAATAAGGATGGCAAGATTCAGGAACCTTGAATGACAAGAAAAATTGAGAGCTTAGTCGGAAAGAAAAAGGAGGCATGTATAAGGTTTAGGAAACTCAAGACAGACAGAGCCCTCGAAGAATACAAAGGTAGCAAGAAAGAACTCAAACAAGAAATTAGGGCTACAAAGGGCCATGAAATGCCTTTGGTGAATGAGACTAAGGAAAATCCCAAGCTGTTTTATGCATATACAAGGAGCAAGAGGGTAGCTAGGGAAAGGGTAGGTCTACTGAAGGATAAAGAAGGGAATTTATGCGTGGAGCTAGAGGAAGTGGGAGAGGTCCTTAATGAATACTTTATATCTGTATTCATAAAGGGAAAGGACACGACACATGGTGAGTCTCAGGACTCACATTCTAGGGCATGTCAATAGAAAAAAGAGGTGCTGGGTATTTTGAAAAGCATTAAGGTAGACAGCTCTCCAGGAGCCTATAGGGTCTATCCCAGAATGCAGAGGGAGGCAGGTGAGGAAATTGCTGGGGCTTTGTACAATATCTTTATATCCTTTTTAGTCACTGGAGAGATCCCAGAGGACTGGAGAGTAGCCAACTTTGTTCCCCTTTCTTAAGAAGGGCAACAGGGATAATCTAGGAAATTACAGGCTGGTGAGCTATATGTCAGTGGTAGGGAAATTACTGGAGAAAATTCTTGGGGACAGGATTTACTCACATTTGGGAAAATGTGGATTTATTAGCGATAGGCAGCAAGGCTTTTTGTGGGGAAGGTCCTGTCTCACAAACTTGATTGAGTTTGTTGAGGAAGTGACAAAGGTGATTGAGGTCAGGGCATTGGATGTTGTCTGTATGGACTTTAGCAAGGCCTTTGACTAGGTTCCTTATGGCAGGCTGACACAAAAGGTGAAGTCACGTGGGGTTTGTGGTGAGCTGGTAAGATGGACACAGAACTAGACAGAGAGTAGCAGTGGAAGGGTGCTTTTCTGACTGAGATCTGTGACCAGCATTAGCTATGAGGAGAGATTGAACCAACTTGGTTTGCTTTCATTTGAATGTCAAAAGATGAGAGACACCCTGATAGAGGTTCACAAAATTATGACAGGCATGGGTAGAATGGATAGTTGGAGACTTTTTCCTAGGGTGGAAATGTCAATTACTAGGAGACATAAGCTTAGGGTAAAAGGGGAAAAGTTTAAAGAAGATGTGAAGGGAAGTTTTTTACGCAGAGAGTGGTAAGTGCCTGGAATGCACTGCCAGAGGAGATAGTGGAGGTAGATGCAATAGCTATGTTTATGAGTCGTCTTGACATATACATGAACAGGCAGGAATAGAGGGATACAGATCAATTAAATCAGAAGGTCTTTTATTTAGGGCCTGTTCCTGTGCAGAACTTTGAGTTTTTATGACAGTCTGTTAATGAAATGAGCAGTTTCTTCTCTCTGTTTATTAATTGAATTTAAATTCTCCCAGCTTCAGTATTTGAACATGAGCCCTCACTGCCTGCCTCAAGAAGTTCCAGCAAATTCACCTGCAGAACACACTTCTTCCAGTCCTCCCCTCAAAAGAATATCCAGTGCAATGAAGTACATATTGTTCTGATGAATCCTGGAGGGTTGCAATATGGTATTGGGCCAGATCTTTGTAAATCCGCTTTTTGATTAGCCTCTTTTGGAGATTCCAGTTTTACGTGCAGTTGAACTTTCCCTGTCTGAACTCTTCTCTGGTCCATCTCATCCTAGACTGGGTTTGTAACAGGCACCTTCCAGCTCCATGATGTCCTGTTTTATGGAGGAAGTGGTTTCACCATCATGCGATGTATGAGCTTTGCATTGGAAAACACCGAGTGGAAAGATGGGAACTACTCAATCCTGGATCTGCTGGTGTACAACTTCTACCTCCCTTTCTTCTTCTTCGGACCGGTAATGACCTTCGATCAGTTCCACGCTCAGGTGAGCTTCAAAACAATGCCCAGGAGATCAGAGAAAGACTTGCATTTATATATACACCTTCAGGATGTCCGAGAGTGCTTTTACAACCAGTGAGAGATGATAGTCACTGTCGTGACTTTCAGGAACAGTAACATCCCAGAGCAGCCAGAATAGTACTTAGATAACCCTGATGTTGGTAGATGGATGAATATTGGCTAGGACACGGGGTAAATCTCTTCTGCTCTATTTTAGAAAAAACACCATGGAATCTTTTTAACCCAGGAGAGAGGGAAAGGAGGGTTTTGGATGAATCTCTGATCTAAGCAGAGGTATTCTTGGTAGTATTGCACTGCCTTTGTGCTGTGTTGGAGTGTCTGTGTACAAGATTGTTCAAGACCTGAGACCTATGTTCCCTTTGTAGCTGCAGTTCTGAATGGCCATGAGAATTTGTCAGGGAAGAGATAGGCAGTGCAGCAGCAGCTGTCCCTCTCAGAAACCCCACACAGAACAACAGAAAGGCCACACACACAAATTAAGGGCAACATTGGTCATGGGTGAGATCTGTCAAATGGCATTTGACCCTCTCCAGGGGTTTTAGATACAAGCAAAGATTGAATAAATTGGGCTTATTCTCCTTGGAGCAGAGAAGATTAAGAGGTGACCTTATGGAGGTGTTCAGAATTATGAATCATTTTGACAGGTTGTTCTGTTTCCACTACATCAGTAACTAGAGGTCACAATTTCAAGATAGTCAGCAATAGAGCTAGGAATGAGATGAGGAGAAACTTCTTTACTCAGAGAGTTTGTTAGGATTTGGAATGCACTTCCTGGGATTGTGGTGGAGGAGGATTCCATAGGAGGCTTCAGAAGAGAGCTGGAGATATATTTGGAAGGGATGAAAGGGCTCAGAGAAAGGGTTGGAGAATGGGACTAGCTGGGTAGCTCTTTCAGGAGGCTGTACAGACACAATGGGTCTGATGGCCTCCCCCTGTACAGTAACACTCTGAGTCAATAAAATAATTTCCTATTATAGAAGATTCTCTTACTCTGAACCTTCTGTATCACAGGTGAACCAAGAAAAGCTCATTCGGAAAGAGAATGAAATGTGGAACATCAGGAAGTATGCCATTGTGCACCTTGCTGTAATAATCCTTGTGGATATCTGCTTCCATTACCTCTACATTCTGACCATCCCTTCGGACCTGAAATTGGTGGCACACCTTTCCGACTGGGCATTAGGTAAGTCCTGGATTCTCCCATTAGCCCATTGACTCCCACAGCTCCATTCCCATGCCCAAACGTCTCCTCTTAAATCTTGCTTGACCATTATCCCTGACCTCACTGAGGCTTTGGGCGTCCTCACTTCCTTTTCAAATCCTTCCTTGGCTTTCTTTTACGTCGGTCTTGCCCCAGCCCCAAGCTCAACTCCAACTCCATCTCCAACTAGGGGGGGGCATAGCCTCAAAATAAGGAAGAGCTTCTTCTCTCAAAGGGTTGTGAATGTGTGGAATTCTCTGCCCAGCGAAGAAGCTCAGGCTGCCTCATTGAATGTTTTTAAGCAAAGATAGATTTTTGAACAGTAAAGGAATTAAGCGTTATGGTGAGTGGGCAGATAAGTGGAGCTGAGTCCACGAAACGATCAGCCATGATCATACTGAATGGTGGAACAGGCTCGATGGGCCAGGTCGGACAGGTCAAGGGGGGGGGGGCGGGATGAGGTTAGTAGGTGGGGGGTGGGGGGGGGGGCTTGAGGTTGGAGGAGGGGATAGATAGGAGGAAGGACAGGTTAGGGAGGCGGGGATGAGCTGGGCTGGTTTTGGGATGCGGTAGGGGGAGGGGAGATTTTGAAGCTTGTGAAGTCCACATTAATACTGTTGGGCTGCAGGGTTCCCAAGCGGAATATGAGTTGCTATTCCTGCAACCTTCGGGTAGCATCGTTGTGGCACTGCAGGAGGCCCAGGATGGACATGTCATCTGGGGAATGGGAGGGGGAGTTGAAATGGTTCGCGACTGGGAGGTGCAGTTGTTTAGTGTAAACCGAGCGTAGGTGTTCTGCAAAGCAGTCCCCAAGCCTCCGCTTGGTTTCCCCGATGTAGAGGTGGCCACAACGGGAACAGCGGATACAGTATACCACATTAGCAGATATGCAGGTGAACATCTGCTTGATGTGGAAAGTCTTCTTGGGGCCTGGGATGGGGGTGAGGGGGCAGGTGTAGGGGCAGGTGTAGCACTTCCTGCGGTTGCAGGGAAAAGTGCCGGATGAGGTGGGACTGGAGGGGAGTGTGGAGCGGACAAGGGAGTCACGGAGAGAGTGGTCCCTCCAGAAGGCAGATAAGGGTGGGGAGGGAAAAATGTCTTTGGTGGTGGGGTCGGATTGCAGATGGCGCAAGTGTCGGAGGATGATGCGTTGGATCCGGAGGTTGGTGGGGTGGTACGTGAGGACGAGGGGGATTCTGTTTTGGTTGTTATTGCGGGGAAGGGGTGTGAGGGATGAGTTGCGGGAAATGTGGGAGACGTGGTCGAGGGCGTTCTCGACCACTGAGGCGTGGAAGTTGCGGTCCTTGAAAAACGAGGACATCTGAGATGTACGGGAGTGGAATGCCTCATCCTGGGAGCAGATGCGGCGGAGGCAAAGGAGTTGGGAATAGGGGATGGCATTTTTGCAGGACGGTGGGTGGGAGGAGGTGTATTCTTGGTAGCTGTGGGAGTCGGTGGGCTTGAAATGGATATCAGTTTCTGGGTGGTTGCCGGAGATGGAGACAGAGACGTCCAGGAAGGAGAGTGAGGTATTAGAGATGGTCCAAGTGAACTTAAGGTTGGGGTGGAAGGTGTTGCTGAAGTGGATGAACTGTTCGAGCTCCTCGTGGGAGCACGAGGCAGCGCCGATACAGTCATCAATGTAACGGAGGAAGAGGTGGGGTTTAGGGCCAGTGTAGCTACGGAAGAGGGATTGTTCCACGTAACCTACAAAGAGGCAGGCATAGCTTGGCCCATGCGGGTACCCATGGTCACCCCCTTTGTCTGTAGGAAGTGGGAGGAATTGAAAGAGAAGTTGTTGAGGGTGAGGACGAGTTCGGCTAAGCAGATGAGGGTGTCAATGGAGGGGGACTGGTCGGGCCTGTGGGACAGGAAGAAGCAGAGGGCCTTCAGGCCACCTGTATGGGGAATGCAGGTGTATAGGGACTAGACGTCCATGGTAAAGATGAGGTGTTGGGGACCGGGGAATTGGAAGTTCTGGAGGAGGTGGAGGGCGTGGGTGGTGTCACAGACGTAGGTAGGGAGTTCCTGGACCAAGGGGGAGAAAATGGAGTCCAGATAGTTGGAGATAAGTTCGGTGGGGCAGGAGCAGGCGGAGACAATGGGTCGACCAGGGCAGTCAGGTTTGTGGATTTTGGGAAGGACTTCACAAGCTTCAAAATCTCCCCTCCCCCAACCGCATCCCAAAACCAGCCCAGCTCGTCCCCGCCTCCCTAACCTGTCCTTCCTCCCACCTATCCCCTCCTCCCACCTCAAGCCCCACCCCCATCTCCTACCTCCTAACCTCCTCCCGCCCCCATCTCCTACCTACTAACCTCCTCCCGCCCCCTTGACCTGTCCGTCCTCCCTGGACTGACTTATCTCCTCCCTAACTCCCCACCTACACTCACCTTTACTGGCTCCATCCCCACCTCTTTGACCGGTCTGTCTCCTCTCCACCTATCTTCTATCGGCCTCCCCCTCTCTCCCTATTTATTTCAGAACCCCCTTCCCCACCCCCATTTCTGAAGAAGGGTCTCGGCCCGAAACGTCAGCTTCCTGCTCCTCTGATGCTGCTTGGCCTGCTGTGTTCATCCAGCTCTACACCTTGTTATCTCAAATTGCACCTTCTGCTTTGGTGGGATTTGAACCCAGATCCCCATGACATTACGTGAGTCTGTGGATTTTGTGATAATGCCACCAGGCCATTGCCAGGTAACATTATGAATGCACTTTCCTTGGGGCATCAAATCTGAGCTGGAACTTGAATCCAGTGTTTCTAATTCAGAGGGAGGGATTCTACCCACTCTGCCATGAGCCCTCTAATATAAAGGATACTTTACCAAATAGAAACTCAACCCAGTCCTAATAGCACTGAAATATTTTCACTGACAAATGTGCCTTTGCTTTTATCTCCCTCCCTGATTCCATGGCAAAGCTTGTTTGGCTTATTTCAACCTGGTGTACGACTGGATAAAGGCAGCGATGATGTTCGGAGTGGTCGGAACTGTGGCCAGACTTGACTATCTTGACCCACCCAAACCACCAAAATGCATCACCATGCTGTACGTCTTTGCTGAAACGTAAGTGTCTCTTTTCTTCCTTTTTATTCTGTTTCCTTTTGTCCTTCTAACGGAGAGAAAAAGAGAGCTCTGGGATTACCGCAAAAAAGAACTGATCCCTATAGTTCGCTTGTGTATTTTGCATCCATTGTGGTAACAATGGAATTTTTCTGACACTGCTTTCAGACACTGACATTACAAGAGATCAAACTGTGCATATAGGCTGTGGCAGGTCTGCACTGTGGGGTCTTCATAGAATCCAGGGCAGTACAGCACAGAAGGAGGACCCTCAGCCCATTCAGTCTGTGCTCACTGTTTCAAGGGAACCGTCCAATTTTCTTCCCTAGCTTTTCCTCTGTAATCTTTGTAATTTGTTTTTTCTTCAAAACTTTATCCAGATTGCTTTGAATCTATTAAATCTGCTTCTGTCTCCCTATCAGGTGGTGTAGACCTAATTGTAGTTATGCATTGTGCAAAGTAGCTTTTCTTCATTCTACTTTATGGTACTTTCGCCAATCATCTTCAATTTGTACACTTAAGCCATTTTATTTACCATTTCCAAGTACCTCGTGATTGTAAGGACTCCGATCAAATCTTCTGTAAGGCTTATTTGTGGGAAAACATTTCTTATTCATTCATAGTATTTGGCTATCATTACCAAGACCAGAATTTATTACCCAACCCTAATTGCCCTGGAGCAGATGGTCATGAACTACACCATGGCTGGAGATTTTTGATCTCTTATCTACCATAGTTAATGTAGTCAATTAATTATTTTGACATGGTGTGGCAATGGTGTATGTTATTGTCATTTGCAATTTGGATTTTTAAAAGCAAAAGGAGGATGTGTGCTTTCAGTTCTGTGAAGGTAACTTTATTAAGTAGTCAGGAGGTTATTTGGAACAGTGAACTGAAGACAGTTTCCAGGATGGCATAGCACTTCAGTTCAGTGCCTCATTGGACACCTGTGGTGTTGATGGATGGAATATTTATACTGCTGAGTTTATGACAGACAGAGAAAATGGATTAGAGACACTAATTTAGTTTTGACTTCAGAATAGGAGAAACAGGTTTTCAGTTCAGTTCTTCATAGCAAGAAAAGTCTTAGTTTGTAGAATCTCCAAGTTGTGGAAGTGTTGAGAAGCTGCTAAACTATCAGAACTGAAGATGTTTAGGCCATAAGAATTGGAGAAAAAAGCTCATTCTAGCAAACTTGGAAAGAATTTGTAAATCTGTCTTAGCATTTAAAAAGGACAAGTGAAAAGAACCCATTAGGTAAGTGTTATGGACCAGACCAGACCCTCAAAATATTCTAAGAAGGTAGCCTTGACCCTAACATTTTCTTATTTTAAATACAAACGTAAAGTGTCTGTTCCTGATACAATGCGACTGGTCAAACTACTCAACATATCTTATTTAAACGCTGTAGTTAAAACCACAGAAAGAGGAATTTAGAATAATTTAACTCAATTGGAAAACTTAACAGAGTAATTGATACAGTTACTATTTATAATTAACTGCTGTATTATAGTAACTTCCCATAAACATATCCCTTAGCAAAAGAAAGAAAAATTCAGACGCAGATTCTCACATGCAGTTTTCCAATCCGGGAGGGGAAATATCTAGAGAAGATTCAGAGAGAGTAGCAGCCAGGAGACTTCCACTGAAGCTTCCAACTCTTTTGAGACCCCAGTAGCTTCTGCTTAAAGCTAAAGCTAAACTTAAAACCAAAAAAAGCAATCTAGAAAGCCTAGTCTGTAAGAGCTGGCCAAACCTAGGCTGCCTCCATTGTCAAACTTTTCAAAATAATAGCCCAAGGCCTCACAAGCTGTTTACTCAAGCGGTCTTCGGTAGACAGCTTGTCTCTTGAAAGCCACAGCGTCATCACATAAGGAATTAGAACTGAGATTTCTTTGGGATTTAAGGACCTGTCATTACTGGGAAGCAGGTTGAAATTTTGTTTTAAATAAAAACCGAAAGAACTGCAGATGCTGTAAATCAGGAAGATAAACAGAAATTGCTGGAAAAGCTCAGCAGTTCTGGGTGCATCTATGAAGAAAAATCAGAGTTAACATTTTGGGTCCAGTGACCCTTCCTCAGAAATTTTGTTTTGCTATTTACATCAAGACTTTTCTAAACTGGCTTATATATAGCTTTTCTTTTAAAAAAAGTCTACTTATGTAATAAACATGAGTCTTTTCTAGAAAAGAAAATTTACAGCTCCGTGGGTATGCTTCAGTAACTAAACACTTCATTAGTCAAGTACAAAAGTTATATGTATGGTCAATGAAATATTATGATTCCAACTGATAATACTGGACATGTTCAATCCCAGATCAAAGGCTAGTTTCGATGCTGATATATTCTGCATTCTACTGCAACCGCATGCTTGCTTGGAACAGTCCTGATGATGGGTTCTGACCTGAAACATTGACTGTCCTGCTCCTGTAATGCTGCCTAACCTGCTGTCTTCCTCCAGCTCCACACTGTATTGAATCTGACTCCAGCATCTGCAGATTTTGCTATCTCCTCTTGCTTAGAACTGATTTATTTTGGTCGCTGTTCCAAAATTGACTTTCTGAACTTTACTTTAAATAAACATAACTGAACTGGCCTACAGCCTCTAATTCTGGATTCGGAACTCAATAATTTATATGCAAAATAAAGCTTTCATCACTTCATGATCTGACTTGTCCAGTGTTGCCATTAGCTGAAGAATTGATGTGGAGGTGCCGGTGTTGGACTGGGGTGAAAGAAGTCAGAAATCACAGTCCTTCAAGGAGCAGCACTCCAAAAGCTTGTGATTTCAAATAAACCTTAGGACTATAACCTGGTGTTGTGTGACTTCTGAGCTAAAGAATCTATTCGGGGTTCGGATTCAGGGGCTGGGTGGACAGAATGTTTGTTTGGTGGAAGATGATGACTGGTTGTTAGGAGTGTAGACGGACCAGGCCTGGGTGATGATCCGGTCAAGGATCTATGATACAAGGATTTACATATATATATAAAAAAACTCGTGGTGTGTATGTGCTGCTGGCTCTCACTGCTGGCTCCCTAGTTGGGAAGCTGGTGGCAAGCTACCTTCTTGAATGGTTGCAGTCTGCTCGGTGAGTCTCCACGCGCAGTGATGTTAGGGAGGGAGTTCCAACACTGTTGCAGCGAATAATAAAGGAAAAATACAGGGTGAGATTATCATACTGAATGTGGTTTGGCTTCTTTAGGAAGCACGCTGCAGAATGAGCTGGATAGATTCAGTAATTAGTGACTGGTCTGTGTAGTGAAGTAAATGGAGCTTCTGCATCTGTTTACTTTTGTGCCTTCAGGAAGAAGCCCTTAGACCAGTGGAAACTGCTAATTAGGGTCATAGAGTCATACAACATGGAAACAGGCCCTTCAGCCCAACTCGTTAATGCTGACCAGGTTTCCTAAACTGAACTAATCCCATGTTCCTGTGTTTGGCCCATATCCCTCTAAACCTTTCCTTTTCATGTACCTGTCCAAATGTCTTTTAAATGTTCTAATTATAATTATATGATCTATATTTCAGGCACTTTGACAGAGGGATAAATGACTGGCTGTGCAAGTAAGTAACCAATCTTTGTTTTGATCTGTTTTTATTTGTACCCAGAAGGTGGCAAAGCCACATTGACTGCTCTTCCCTAATTGCCTTGAGAAAGTGGTGGCAGAGTTTCTGATAATGATGACATCCCTGCGGCGTTTCTTGGTGCAGATTGTCAACAATCATTTCTATGCGACACTCCAGGAGGGATTCCTGGGCTGTTAAGTGCTTCGGGATAGTGTGTGAGGTGGCGAAAGGCGCTATACAAATGCAGGTTCATTCTTTTTGCGGCGAACATCATTGGTATGTCTCCTCGCTGGACGTTCATCCAAATGGCGCCCCCTCTGGGTGGGAGGGGAGGGCAAAGACAGGGACGAAGTGGTGGAGATCAGAGCACTGCACTGCTCAACTGTGACACACCCCCCCCCCGCCAACCTCCCACCACCACCATCACAACCCTAACCCGTACCACCATCTTTATTGGGAGATGCTCAAATGTAAACAGGATAAAGCCTGGCCGTGCAGGGCCTTGCATGTTTGAAGCTGATACTCACAACCGGGAATCTCTGCCCCAGCAAGAGAAAAGAGGGCAAGTCTGGATACGAGAGCTACAAAGACAGTGTTCCTTCTTCCCCAGGTACGTCTATGATTATTTGGGAGAAGACCATGACAACATTCTGAAGGAGCTGCTGGCGACAATTTGCACCTTCCTTATCACCACACTCTGGCTCGGCCCGGAGAACGTGGTCTACATCTGGTCCATGTGTAACTGCTTCGGCCTCAACTTTGAGCTGTGGGTACAAAAGTTCTTCCAGCTGGAACCCTTTGCTTCTATTGAGGTGAGATCCTAAACTTACAACATTTCCCTTGTTGGTTGACAAAACCCTTTGTAGCTGGGAATTCCTGCACCTCCTGAACTTGGGAGTTGCATGCACTGAGCTGGTCAGACCTGTCTGTGGCTCAGTTGGTAATGCACACTTCTCTCAAGTCAACAGATTGAGGGCTCAAGCCCCATCCCAGAATTGGAGTATAAAATCTAAGCTCACAGACGGTGCATCATTTTCAAAGGTGCTCTCTTTTGGAAGAGACATTAACTCAAATCCCTTTCTGTCATCTTGGGGCAAATACAAGAAACAGGAATAGGAGAAAACCATTTGGACCATCTAGCCTGCTTTCCCCATGCACAGAAAATCAATATGCGAGGTGTGGACTCATGGAATTGAGGGCACTATATTAGCATTGGTAGAGGATTGGTTTGTGGACAGGAAGCAGAGAGAGGGCATAAATAGGGTACGTAGTGAATGATGGAGTGCTACAGGGGTCAGTGCTGGGGATTTAGCTATTTTACAATCCCCATTAATGACTGAGATGAAAAGAGACAATAATGAGTCTACACTTCCTGATAATAAGTGGAGGTGATGGCCTAGTGGTATTATCACTGGACTGTTAATCCAGAGACTCTGGGGACCTGTGTTCAAATCCTGCCATAGCAGATGGTGGAATTTGAATTCATTAAGAGTCTAATGAATCCATTATTGATTTTAGGGGAAAAACCCATCTGGTTCATTAACATCTTTTAGGAAAAGAAACAGCCATCCTTATTTGGTCTGGCCTACATGTAACTCCAGACCCACAGCAATGTGGTTGACTCTTAACTGCTCTCTGGGCAATAAATGCTGGCCCAGCCTCTGATGTCCACATCCCGTGAATGAATTTTAAAAAATAAAGCTAGGTGGAAAAGTGATACAATGGCTGAAAGGATAGACAAGTTAACTGACTGGACATCAAGATGGGAGATTGATGACAATGTAGGGAAGTGTGAAATTATTCACTTTTGCTGTAGGAACATGAAAGCAAAATACTGTATTAAAAGTGTGAAATTTGTAGGTACTGCAAACAATTAGGAATACAAATAGCAGATCGGCCTTAATTGGAGGATCGGTTGGAGTACAGAAATAAAGACCTCTTGTTGCAATTGTACAGGTGAGATCATATCTAGATGCACAGTTTTGGTTTCCACATTTAAGAAAATATACACTTGCATCAGAGGTGAATGTTCACTAAATTAATTCCTGCAATGAAGTGGGTGTCCAATCAGGAGATGCCAAAGAAATTGACTCTATCTTCCCTGGAGTTTAGAAGAATGAGCAGTGGTCTCATTGAGACCTACAAGATTCTGAAGGGGCATAAAATGTGGTCTCAGAATAAGGAGGTAATCATTTAGGACTAAGATGAGAAATTGCTTCAACACAAGGGTTGTGAATCTTTGGGATTCTACTCAGGAGATTATGGATGCTCCATTGTTGTATATATTTAAGTCAAGGAGAGAGAGAGATTTTAGGTGTCTTGAGGAATCAAGGGATAAAGAGAGTGGGCAGGGAAGTGGGGTTGAAGCGTAATGGGAGAGTAGATTTGATGGGCTGGATAGTCTACTCCTCTTAATGGTTGTGTTCTTTTGAATTTATGGAGGGCAATAAATGCTTGCCAAGCCAGCGACACCCACAGCCCATTAAGGAAAAAAAATGCCATGGTGTTGGAGGAAAGCTATACTGGCATTGGAGGAAGTCCAGAGAAGGTTCACTAGGTTGATATCAGGTATGGAGGGATTGTCTTATGAGGAGAGGTTGAGTAGGTTGGACCTGTGTGCATCGGAATATAGAAGAATGAGAGGTGATCTTAATGAAACATACAAAATTCTTAGGAGACTTCACAGGTAAATGCGGAGAAATTGTTTCCCCTTGTGGGAGAGCCTAGGACCAGAGGGTACAATCTCAGAATGAGGGGTCATAGGTAAAGAGGAATCCCTTCTCTGAGGATAGTGAATCTGTGGAATTCTTTACCACAGAGGGCTGTTGAGTCTGGTTCATTAAGTATATCCAAGACTGAGATGGACAGATTTTTAATCTGTAAGGGAATTGAGGGTGATGGGGAAAAGGCAGGAGAGTGGAGTTGAGGATTATCAGATCAGCCACAATCTCCTTGAATGGCAGAGCAGACTCAATGAGCTGAATGGTCTACTCTAGTCGTATGTCATATCATCTTGAATGGAAAAGACCCCAAACTTTTTCTTTGGAAAGACAGGAAAGGAAGACAGAGGGAGAGAATGGCAGTCAAGATAACTTTTTTGAGACATCAAATAAAAAAATGCATTAGGGGACATTATTTTCACAGTGACATCATTGTATGATGACATCACATCAGACAACAGAGAATATCTTGAAGGAAAGCACAATTTGAATTGTCACCATTTATATTTTTGATTGAGTTTTGGAGGTTTATTTAAAAATGAAATATTTCTTCTCCAGGTTTGGCCGTTGCAATTTAGCTCCATCCAGCCCTGGGCAAGAGTGAAATGTTAGCCATCTGTATACATTTGAGGATCATGTCCCGAATGTACATTATCTTAAAGGATGATGATGTGATGCAGTGGTAATGTCAGTGGATTAGCAATCAGATATTCCAGGCTAATGTTCTAGGGACAAGAGTTTGAATCCCACCATGGCAGATAGTCAAATTTGCATAGCATAAAAATTTGGTAATGAAAATCTAGTCCAATGGTAACTGCGTAACACTTGTTGCAAAAACCCATTCAGTTCACTAATGTCCCTGAGACCAAAATAAATAGGAACGCAGTAGACTGTTTGGCTCCTGGAACCTGCCCTGCCATTCAATCAGTTCATGCTGATCTGACATTCCCCACATCCACTTTCCTGCATTTTCTTCATAACCCGTGACTGATCAAGAATCTATCTATCTCAGCCTTAAGTATATGCAAGGATATTGCCGCCACAGCTCTCTGTGGCAAGGAGTTTCAAAGACTCTCAACCCTCTGAGAAGAAAATCCTCCTCACTTAAGTCTTGTCTTGTCATCCCTTTATTCTGAGACTATGCCTTCTGGTCCTAGACTCTCCCATGAGGGGAAACATCTTCTCGGCATTTACCCTGTCAAGCCCCTTAAGAATCCTATACATTTCAAGAGATCACTTCTCGTTCTTCTAAACTTCAATAAGCAGAGTCCCAAATTGTTCAACCTTTGCTCTTAAAAGAATCTCTCCATACCAGGGGATCATCCCTACAGAACCATCTCTGAACTACCTCTAATGAAATAATATCTTTTCTTAAATAAGGGGACACAGCACTCCAGATGTGATCTCACCAGCACCTTGTACAGATGCAGTTAGACTTCTCTATTCTTATACTCCAACCCCCTCAAAATACGGAACAAAAACAAAGTTGCTGGAAAAGCTCAGCAGGTCTGGCAGCATTTGTGAAGGAGAAAACAGAGTTAATGTTTCAGGTCCAGTGACCCTTCCTCAGAACACCCCTTGAAATAAGGTCAGTATTCCATTAGCCTTCCTGCTGCATCTCTGTGCTAGCTCTCTGTGTTTCATGTACAAGTTACTCCAAGTCCCTTTGTGTTGCAGCTTTCTGCAGATTTTCCCCATTTAACTAATAATGTTATTTTGTTATCCCTTCCAAAATTAACAACTTCATATTTTCCCACATTATACTCAATTTGCCAACTTTTTGCACACTTACTTCACCTCCGAATATCTCCCTGTAAATTGTTTGTATCCCTCTCACAATCTGCCTTTCCACCTATTTTTATGTTGTCTGCAAGTTTGACTTCAATACATTCCCTTTCTTCCTCCAAGTCATCAATATATATTGTGAACAGTTGTGGTGCCAGCATTGATCCCTGTGGAACCCCAACTGTTACAGGGTCACCAAGCTGAAAAAGAACCCCTTATCCCAACTCATTTATTTCCTGCTGATTAGCGAATTCTTTATTCATGCCACTATACTACCTTCAACACACCTACTACCTTCTGACTTAACCTTTTGTGAGGTATCTTGTCAAATGCCTTCTGGGATTCCAAATATAACACATCTACTCGTTCCCCTCTATCCACTCTAGTTGAGACTGCTACAAAAAAAACTTTAATAAATTAGTCAGACACAAGTTCCCTTTCACAAAGTCATGCTGACTCTGCTTGATTAGATTATGATGTTCTAACTGTTATACTATTACTTCCTTAATAACTGATTGCAATACTTTTCCAACAATAGATGTTAGGCTAATTGGCTATAGTTACCTGCTTTTTGCTCCCTCCCTCCCTTTTTCAATAGGGCTGTCACATTAGCAGTTTTCTAATCCTCTGGTATTTCTCCAAAATCCAACAATTTTTGGAAAATTACAACCAATACATGCACTATCTCTGAAGCTACCTCTTTTAGGATCCTAAGAAGTAAGCCTTCAGGACCAGAATATTTATCTGCCTTTAGCCCCATTAGTTTGTTTAAGACTGCCTCTCTAGTGATGATGATGGTATTTAATTCCTCCCTTCTATTCTTTAGTATTAACAGAATGTTTAAAGTATCTTCCACTATAAAGGCTGATGCAAAATATCTGTTTAACTCCTCTGCTATTGCCTGGTTCCCCAAAACCATCTCCCCGATTCATTTTCTAAGGGGCCTGTGTTCACTTTGACCTTTCTCTTCCTTTTTATAAACTGACAATAAGAGTTTATTTAAATATATATATTCCTCATTATTTTTGCCCTCATAGTTTACTTTTTCTTTCTTTATTATATTTCTCAGTCCTCCTTTGCTGGATTCTGAATTTAACCCGGTCTTCGGGGCTATTATTGACTTTTGTCTTTTATATGATTTTCCCTTCAACTTAATATTCTCCTTACTTTCCTTGCTTAGCCATGGTTGGTTTATCTTTCTTTTAGAATCTTTCCTCCTTACTGTGATGTGTTTTTGCTGAGAGTCATGAACCTCCTTAAATATCTGCCACTGCTTGCTTCCTGTCATTCCTGCTAATCAATGCACCCAGTTCACTTTAGCTAACTCTATCCTCATTTCATTGAAATTCCCTTTATTTAAGTTAAACATAGTTGTTTCTGATCCCCGTTTCTGATTCAAGTTTCTCACTCTTGAACTGAATATTAAATTCTGTCATGTTATGATTGCTATTTCCTAAGGAATCTTTTACTCTGAAGTCATTTATTAAACTTGCCTCATTACCAGATCCAAGATACTTGCTCCCTGGTTGACTCCATGATGTAGTGCTCTAGGAAGCCATCCCTATTGCAGACTATGGATTTGTTGTCGTAGCTATCCTTTCCAATCTAATTAACTCAATCAACACGAAGATTAACATCCCTCATAATTATTGCTGTATTCTTCCTACATGCTGCTATTATTTGTTGATGTATAGCCTTTTCTACAGAGTGGTTACTGTTTGGGAGTCTGTACACTATTCCTACCAATGTTTTCTTTCCCTTTCTGTTTTATTACTTCAGCCCAAATCGACTCTATATCATCTGAGCCTCGATTATCCCTTGCAGCTGTCCCTTTTTCATCTCTTATTAATAATGCTGCCCCACCACCTATTCCACCCCTCCTGTCTCTCCAAAAGTTCAAATGTCCCTCAATGTTAAGTTCTCAGTTTTGATTTCATTATAACCACATTTCAGTAATGGCTATGAGATCATGTTCACTTGTCTTGATTTGCGCCATCAGTTGGTCTACCTTATTCTGAATGCTTTGTGCATTAAGATACAAAACCTTTAGGTTTGTTTGTTTACCGAATTTTCCTTCACTTTTAAGGTTCATTTCTGGTAACAATTAGCCCTGTCACTAACCTGCAATTCTACTTCCTCCTTTACTGTTGATTTTATAATTTCCCAAGCAAATGAACCAATCCATCTGCTAGTTTAAAGTCCTATCCACAGTCCTAGTTATGAGATTCTCCAGGACTGTGGTCCCAGCTTAGAGCCAGTCCCATTGAACAGCTCCCTCCTTGCCCAGTACTGGTGCCAATGTCCATGAATTGAACCCACCTCTCCCACACCAATCTTTCAGCCATGCATTTACTTCTTTAATCTTGTTAATCCTGTGCCAATTAGCTCTTGGCTCAGGTAGAGTTTAGGGAAGGAAATCTGACATTCTTACCTGGTCTGCGACTCCAGACTTTCAATAATATTGTGGTTGGGCTGGGGCAGCATTTATTGCCTGTCCCTAATTCCCTTGGAGAAAGGGGCAGTGAGCCTTCTTGAATAGCCACAGTCTTTGGGATAGCAAGAACTGCATATGCTGGAATCCGTGGTAACAAAGTGTGGAGCTGGAGGAACACAGCTGGCCAGGGGAAGAAGGGTCCTGACCCGAAACGTCAGCTTCCCTGCTCCTCTGATGCTGCCTGGCCTGCTGTGTTCCTCCAGCTCCACATAGTGTTATCACTGATTCCAGCATGTGCAGTTCTTACTATCTCTGAGGACAGAATTCCTGTTGCTCCTGGATTGGAGAGTTTTTACGATAATGGTCATTGTTTTGGAAACAAGGCTTTTATGAACTGAATTCGCATTTCTCTAGCTGCTTTGGTTAGATGTAAACATATGTCACCAGATATTATTAAGCTGGAGAGGGTTCAGAAGAGATTTACCAGGATGTTCCCAGGTGTGGAAGGTTTGAATTATGGGGAGAGGCTGGATTGGCTGGGATTTCTTTCACTGGAGCGTAGGAAGTTGAGGGGTGACCTTGTAGAGGTTTATAAAATCATGAAGGGTATAGATAAGATGAATGGCAGGTTTCGTTTCCCTAGGGTGGGGGAGTTCAAGACTAGGGATAAGAGGAGAAAGATTTAATAAAGACATGAGGGCAATATCTTTACACAGAGTATGGTTCCTGTTTGGAATGAATTTCCTGAGGAAGTGGTGGATGTGGGTACAGTTACAATGTTTAAAAGATATTTGGAGAAGTACATGAACAAGAAAGGTTTGAACGGATATGGGCTAAGCACAGGCAGGTGTGACTAGTTCTGTTTGGGATTATGGTTGGTTTGGATGGCTGGACCGAAGGGTCTGTTTTCATGCTGTATGAATCTATGACTCTATTAGCCTGACCCACTGGTTTAATAGTCCAGTGACATTACCATCGTCTCTTCTTTTATAGTTCTGAAGAAGGGTCACTGGATCCAAAACATTAACTCTGCTTTCTCTCCACAGATGCTGCCAGACCTGCTGAGGTTTTCCACCAATCTCTATTTTTGTGTCTGATATCCAACATCCACAGTTCTTTCAGTATATTTCCACCTTTTTATTGTGTTCCTTTGTTGTGTTACCCTGCCCAGCTGCTATCCCCACCATTTCTGTCAGCCAGAAGGACAATGGTGTGGTTTACATGTTTTTTTTTAAATTTCTTCACAGGCTAACCAAATATCTGAGGCAATGTCCCGGCGAATCAGAGGAGTCTTTGGTGCTGCAAACTTCTGGGCCATTATTTTGTACAACGTCCTTTCACTGAACAGTGTTGACTTTGCTCTCTTGGTTGCTGGAAGGTTGTTCCTCACTGGTAAGCTTTATCAAAGGCCATGGAGCTAATTAACAACATTTCAGCAAAGTTGACCTTGGGCAGGTTTATTTTCATCATCATTTCCCACTGTTGCCAGGCATCCACCAATGCCAATCACTGCCTGGGTGCCAGGAGGAAAGGGTCTATGAGTAACATAGGGGGCAGCAGAGTGGCTCAGTGGTTAGCACTGCTGCCTCACAGCACCAGGGACCCAGGTTCGATTCCAGCCTCTGGCTGTGTGGAGTTTGCACCTTCTCCCTGTGTCTGTGTGGGATTCCTCCAGGTGCTCCGGTTTCCTCCCACAGTCCAAAGATGTGCTGGCTGGGTGAATTGGCCGTGCTAAATTGCCCGTAGTGTTCAGGGATGTGTAGATTAGGTGGGTTATAGGGGGATGAGTCTGGATGGGATGCTCTGAGGTTCAGTGTGGAGTTGTTGGGCCAAAGGGCCTGTTTCCACACTGATTCTATGAAACATGGGGGAAAATCCGCATTCAATCATTCATCCCTGACCATAGTCCTTGGCTCTGCAGCTCCTAAAAGCACCACGTTTGAACTCTGGTTAATAGCTCCTGTAGTTGTAGTAGAGTACTGTACTCAGTTCCCTGTTCCCATTTCCAGTAAGCTGAATAATACAAGTCAAGAATGTTGAGTAATATTGGGCTGTGATGCCCTCCCTAGTTAAATAACTTCATTATCTAAGTGGGAACAAGAAGAGTGGCAATTTGGACAATATACAGGAGGGAGTTTTTTTTATTCACTTGTGGGATGTGGGTGTCGCTGCCTGGGCCAGCATTTATTGCCCGTCCCTAGTTGACCTTGAGAAGGTGGTGGTGAGCTGCCTTCTTGAACCCCTGCAGTCTACTTGCTATGGATTGACCCACATGCCCTCAGGGAGAGAATTTCAGGATTTTGACTCAGCGATAGTGAAGGAACAGCGATATATTTCCAAGTCAGGATGGTGAGTGGCTTGGAGGGGAACTTGCAGGTGTTCCCATGTATCTGCTGCCCTTGTCCTTCTAGATGGAAGTGGTCGTGAGTTTGTAAGGTGCTGTCTGAGGATCTTTGGTGAATTTCTGCAGTGCATCTTGTAGATAGTACACACTGCTGCTACCGAGCGTCAGTGGTGATTGTGGATGTGGTGCCAATCAAGCGGCTGCTTTGTCCTGGATGGTGTCAAACTTCTTGAGTGTTGTTGGGGCTGCACTCATCCAGACAAGTGGGGAGTATTCCATCACACTCCTGACTTGTGCCTTGCAGATGGGGGGCAGGCTTTGGGGAATCACTTGTGGGATGTGGGATGTGAGTTACTCGGCGCAGTATTCCTAGCATCTGACCCATTCTTGTGGTGAATCCAGTTGAGTTTCTGATGAATGGTAACCCCCAGGATATTGATAGTGGGGGATTCAGTGATGATAATGCCATTGAATGACAAGGAATGGTGATTAGATAGTCTCTAATTGGAGTCAGTCATTGCCTGGCATTTGTGTGGCATGAATGTTGCTTGCCACTTGCCAGCACAAGCCTGGATACTGTGTTAATGGCCATGGAATTGGTGGTGATGGGTAGGAGTATTAAAGGAGAATAAGTGAACACATGCTCACACTCTATCCCTTCCATTCTCAATACATTTTCTTTAAGACGAGCCCTGCTTTATTTGTGAGAGTGACCTTCCGTTCTCTTAAATCAATTCTATTGCCAGTAAAGGCATCTGAGACTGAATGGCCACCTCCTGTGCTGAAGGTGCCATTTCCCAGCCTGAGAACACTCGAAGGAAGTGATTTGACTTGAGCCACTCACAGAGAAGGCTTTCGGTAAAGTATGATATCGTTGAATCCAGCTCCACTCTCTTGAGAAACTGTTTTTCTCTCTCTCTCTCTAAATTTCAGGATTTCCCTGGAGCCTGTTGAGTGTTCTCTTTGTGACGTACTGTGGGGTACAGCTGATCAAGGAGAACGAGCGAAGGTTGGCAATGGAAGCTGACAAAGAGAAAGTGGACTAGAGAACTCCCCAAGAGAGGCACGCAAATTGATCGAGGAAAGCTCATGCTGTGAGCAGTTACCAAATTGACCATTTGTCACATGTACAGAGAGATTTTCTGATTGCAGGAACAGACAAATTACCTAATTAAATTGTAATAACGTTGAACAGATCAATTCCCCTTCTTCCCTCAATTCCCCTTCTTCCCTCAATTCCTGCACTGTGTGTAAAGGAGAAAAGACTCCTCTCAGACTGTGAATCTCTTGCTCCAGAGGTTGCTGGAGGAGATCACTTGAGTTTGATTTCCCCCAGCCCACAACCCACCTCATTCAGTCCGACTGCAGCTGATATCCACTTTCCAATCTTCAGAATTGGTGTGAAGGAAACTCTCTCTCAGTTCGACTGAAAATCAGGCTGTCTCATCTCTCCCAACGCAGGGGGTTCCCAGAGACGGGCTGGACCCCTAGTGAGGCTGGAAACGCAGACTGGCTCCAAACCCACACACACCCAGACCCCACCCCACACAGATACACACTCCCACACATGCATGCACGCACACAGACACACACACACACACACACACCTCCCCACACAGGCACATACACATGCCGTCTAATGCACACAATTACTGGGAAGGCCACATGGAGATTTGTGGGTTTTGAGTGATGGAGTCTGCAATAAAAAACACTAACTGAGATCCTGAACAATTATCGTTCATTCATTACTGCTCTGTGAGCTTTCTTCTCCATCTAAGTATCTGTAAAGCTTGGCACGTTACTTGTCGAAAGTATAATTTATTCTGCTCAATCTTGAAGTTTTTATAACAGAAATCCACTCTGACTCAAGTGTTTGTGAAGGATAAATATAAATAACTAACTGTGAACTCCTGTACACCGACTTCCTGCCTCACTGTTCCTTTAAGCTGCACTGTGTTAATTTATAAGCACTTCACATACACAACAGAAATAAATGTTAAATTGGAATCGTGCCTCAGTTTGGTGCTTTGTTTTCTCGAGCCCTCAGAGCTTTCAGCTCCAAACACTTCACTTTTCACTTTAATCTATTACCTCTTTACAACCTCTGCCCCAGTTTTCTCCACTCCCACGCACACCTCCACACCCCAACCCTCTTTCATTTTTAATGGTATCAATCACATTTAAAAGATTAGCCGGGCCAATGGGCCAAGGAGTGGCAGATGGTGTTTAATTTAGATAAATGTGAGGTGCTGCATTTTGGAAAGGCAAATCAGGGCAGAACTTTAACACTCAATGGTAAGGTCCTAGGGAGTGTTGCTGAACAAAGAGACCTTGGAGTGCAGGTTCAAAGTTCCTTGAAAATGGAGTTGCAGGTAGAGAGGGGAGTGAAGAAAGCATTTAGTATGCTTGCCTTTATTGGTCAATGCATTGAGGACAGGAGTTGGGGAGTCCTGTTATGGCTGTACAGTACATTGGTTAGGCCACTTTTGGAATACTGTGTTCAATTTTGGTCTCCCTGTTATAGGAGGGATGTTGTTAACCTTGAAAGGGTTCAGAAAAGATTTACAAGAATATTGCCAGGGTTCGAGGGTTTGAGCTGTAGGGAGAGGCTGGATAGGCTGAGGCTATTTTCCCTGGAGTGTTGGAGGCTGAGAGCATCCCTTATATCATGAGAGACATAGATAGGGTGAATAGTCAATGTCTTTTCCCCAGGTTAGAGAAGTCTAAAACTAGAGGGCTTAGGTTTAAGATGAGAGAGGAAAGATTTAAAAGCGACCTAAGGGGTAACTTTTTCATGCAGAAGATGGTGCATGTATGGAATGAGCTGCCAGATGAAGTGGTGGAGGCTGGTACAATTATACCATTTAAAAGGCATCTGGTTAGGTATATGAAAAGGAAGGGTTGAGAGGGATATGGACCAAATGCTGGTAAATGGGACTATTTTAGAATACCTGGTCGGCATGGATTAGTTAGGACTGTTTCCATGCTGTACTATGACTCTAAAAGACATTGTTTGAGGCGGTACAGAACCTTTTGTAACCTTAGGATTTGTGCACAGGAAGCTCCCACATAAAGCAAGGCAAAACAAATCTGGATTTTTTTTGTCTTGCTCTCATCAGGATCAATACAAGAGTGCCAAATTTCAAATGATTAGAACACTTTCTATTGCAGGAGAAAACATAAGTACAGATTGGTTGGCAGGTTAATGTTGGCTAACAGAGGCATTGCCATCAGAGAAAGCAACAGGAAGCTCAAGGAGATAGTGAGGACCGCAGATGCTGGAAGTCAAAGCCGATAAAATGTGGATCTGGAAGAGCACAGCAAGTCAGGCAACATCAGAGGAGCAGGAAAGTCGACGTTTCAGTTCTGGACCCTTCATCAGGACTTTCTCTAAGCTCTAGGTCCTCCAAGCTCTCAGGGAATCCAAAAGAGGTGTAAGGCTTGAACATACTCCTTTTGTTTGCTGAGAACAGGACCCTGTATCTGAATGAATGTAACTTATAGCATGGGTAAGTGGACCACATTACTACCTCTATTTTCTCATGTAGTGTAAGATGCTGTGATTGTTTGAAATTTGACATTCTTGTATCTGTCCTGATGAGTGTAAAAACAAAACCCTTCGGTAACATGCGCAGCTTGCAGCAGGATTTGAGGAAAAATGACAAGAACATCAGTAAATAGTTAAATGATAAATATTGTGCAGCACTCTCTGTCACGGGATGGGGTGAAAATGGGTCCTCTTGGCTGGGTGCAAAGAAAATAAGACACAAACAAATCAAGCTTGTGGGGGGAGAGCGGAGAATGTAAGAAAATGGAGGTCAGACATCATAAGGTCCGGCTCTGAAGTAGTAGAATTTAATACTGAGTATTTAATATTCGATATTGTTCAATGTTAAGTGTTATTCCTCAAGCTTGCGCTGTGCTTCATTGGAACATTGTAGCAAACCCAGGACAGAAATATGAGCATGGGAGCAAGGTCTTAGTTTTGTCAAGTTTACTTTGATGTAAGCCGAGAGGACCCATTTCACTCTTCCATACCGTAATTTACACCGATTTAACAACACTGTTTCCCTTTCAGTCCAATTAGCAAACTCTTTTTTTTTGGAATGGGCCTCCAGCCCATCTGTACATCTTACTCCTCCTCCACCCCATCAAAGTTATAAAAACCACCATTTCCATAGAAAGGACTGTCTCTGGACTGTTCAAAATGCATATGTTATAGTTTACGAAAATTGGAAAATGGACATTTGTGTATTGCTGGGTTATGAAAGATTTAACATGTGACTGCTTGAAACAGCCATATCTAAAGGTTAAAGGAGACTACGGTCTATTTATTGTTTACAAAAAGATGATTTTGGAAAGCAGAATCTAGCAAGGTTTTAAGAGAGAGATTATGGTGGAGATTAATTGCTTTAGTTATTGAGCAAAATGAGCTGAAAACCCCATATTGATCTGTTACCTTTGTCTAACAACAGCCTCTGGACTGAAGTATTGAGCGTTCTTTTCCCCAGTCACACTGAGGAGATATGGGGAAATGCTGGATATGTTTGCAGGAATACAGTTCTGGTTCTCTCAGTCTGTAGGAGAACTCAGAGCCTGGAGCTGAATGCAGTGAACTCTGTATTTTTCTCAGTGAAGTAATTTAGAAAAAAAACTGAAAATTTCAAATATCCAAACTCCTGTTTCTCATCTGAATCTGGACTGAGATTTTGCATTATTTTGTAACCCTTTAAAACATTCATTCACGGATGTGGGCACCACTGGCCAGGCCAACATTTATTGCCCATCCCTAATTGCCTGGAGGACAGTTAAGAGTCAATCACATTGCTGTGGGTCTGGAGTCACATGTAGGCCAGACCAGGTAAGGATGGCAGTTTCCTTCCTTAAAGGACATTAGTGAACCAGATGGGTTTTTATAACAATCAACAATGATTTCATGGTCATCGTTAGACTCTTAATTCCAGAGTTTTTTAAAATTTTGAATTCAAGTTTCATTGTCTGTCATGGTGGGATTCAAACTGAAAGCAATGTGGGCCTGTTGAGAAGAAACTGAAGGAACTGTGAGAACTACCCTTTTTAGTTTGGATACTTGGTCCACAGGATTTTCCTTACTCTTGCACTCATTGTTCTGTGGGTGTGTGTGCATGAGAGTGAGTGAGATTAAGGCTGATATAGTTTCATTCACACAGCAGTTTAGTCGATAACCAGTTTGTCACTTGTTTGAAGAATACGTTTGTCTGCAATAAACGTGCAAGTTTTGACTTTATTGACAAACCTAGTGAAACTCTCTTTTGTCTTAGTTATCAGGAATAAAGAGAAACAAACTGACCATATTTTTGGTGATTGAGTTAAAGAATGGAATCATAGAATCTCTACAGTGCGGAAAGAGGCCATTTGACCCATCATGTTTTACAGTGATCCTCTGAACATCACCTAAACCCATCCACCCTATCCTACCCCTGTAACCTTGCATTTCCCATGGCTAATCCACCTAGCCTGCATATCTCTGGACACTATGGGGCGATTTAGCACGGCCAATCCCAACAACTAGGGAGAGAATAGACCTCCTTAAAGCTCAATGAGGTCGTAAATGTGTGGAATCACAGGAAATGGGAAAGATACTAAATTAGTATTTTGCAATAGTATTTACTGTGGAGAAAGACATTGAGACTAGGGAACTTGGGGAAATAAATATTGATTTCTTGAAAACGATTCACATTACAGAACAGAAACTGCTGGAGTCTTAAAAAACATAAAGGTAGATAAATCTCTGGGAACTGATCAAATGTATCCCAGGACATTATAGAGAAGCTAGGGAAGAAATTGTGGAGTCCCAGCAGAGAGATTTGTATCATCTACAGCTGCAGGTGAGATGCCAGAGCACTCGACGGTGGCTAATGTAATGTCTTTGTTTAAGAAAGGCTGTAAGGAGAAGTGTGGGAACTATAGACCTGTGAGACGAACATCAGTGGTGGGTAAGTTGTTGGAGGGGATTCTAAGAGACAGGATTTATATGCATTTGGAGAGGCAAGGATTAATTAGGGATAATCAACATGGCTTTGCGCATGGGAAATCATGTCTCACTAACTTGATTGAATCTTTTTGAGGACATGACCAAAAATATAATTGAGGGCAGAGTGGTAGACGTTGTCTACGTAGACTTTAGTAAAGGCTTTGACAAGTTTCTGCATGGTTAGTAAATTTAGATCACATGGGATTAGGGGAGAGCTTGTCAATTGGATACAAAATTTGCTTTATGGTAGGAGACAGAGGGTGGTGGTGTAGCGTTGTTTTTTGGACTGGACCAGCAGTGTTCCACAGGCATTGGTGCTGGGTCCACTTTTGTTGTCATTTATATAAATGGTTTGGATGAGAATTTAAAAGTCATGGTTAGTCAGTTGGTAGATGACACCAAAATTGATGGTACAGGGGTCAGTGAAGAAGCTTGTCTAAAAGTACAATGGAATCTTGATCAGCTGGGCCAATGGGCTGAGGAGTGGCAGATGGAGTTTAATTTGGATAAATGCAAGATATTGCATTTTGGTAAGATGAATAAAGGCGGGACTTATTTAGATAATGTTAGGGCTGTGGGTAGTGTTGTTGATCAGACGGACGTAGGGGTTCCGGTACATAATTCTTTGAAAGTTGCATTGCAGGTGGATAGGGTGGTGAAGAAGGCATTTAGAACGCTTGCCTTCATTGCTCAGACCATTGAAAATGGGAGTTGGGACGTCATTTTGAGATTGTACAGGACATTGGAAGGATATTATTGAATTGGAGAGGGTTCAGAAAAGATTTACAATGGTGTTGCTGGAACTGGAGGGTTGAGTTATAGGGAGAGGCTGGGTTGGCTGGGATTATTTTCATTGGAGTGTAGAAGGTTGAGGGGTGACCTTATAGAAGTTTATAAAATCATAAGGGGTATAGATAAGGTGAATAGCAAAGGTCTTTTCCCTAGAGTGGGGGAGTTCAAACCTAGAGGGCATATTTTTAAGGTGAGAGGGGAA